GTATAGGACCTTAGGTGGAATCCTGAGTCCCATCCACAACCTTGTGAGATTAGACATTCCCACTAGAAAGGACAAGCAGACTGGAACAGCTACAGCGACAGAAGATGCATCTTCATGATGAACCTGACCTATACTCAGAGCAGTAGTTACTCTAAATACCAACAGAGAGGGAAAGAGTCTTCATATCAAGTACCAATGCTATCTGCTCTGTGCACAGGGTAGATAGGGATGGGCAACTTAGACACTGGCTATCTAAAATGAGGGGGCAATAAATGCATGAAGTGACTGGTTTACAAGGCTTCAAGAGGGCGCTTAGTTTAAGAGTGTGGGGCGAAAGAAAGAGTCCCCACTGAATAGCTATCATTTTCTAGACGGGTCTGGTGAAAGGAGATGGGGATAAGATTCATAAGATTCAATAGAGAATAACTGTTATCATGACTAATCGCGACTATCACAATTGTAAAGGTAGAAGTTTTGTAACCAAAAAAAAGGGGAGCGGTTAATCTTACAGTCCAGAAACAGAGGACTCTAGGACCATCAAGAGAGGTACGCACAAATAGAATGCGGGACCTTATCCAGAGAAGCAGCAGTACCAGAGATGGAGGCAGAGATGGGGGCATGAAGAGTGGGAGTGGCTGAGGACTCTAGATTCATCAACTAAGAAGAGAAGGACTAAGAACTGGTGGCCAGGAGCAGACTTGCAGAATGTGCCCTTTGGAGATGTAAATTATTATGTATGCCTGAGTGGGTTTTTTTGTTTGTGTGTTTTTTTTTAAAAAAAGCTAAAGTGGATGGAGAGACATACTTTTAGCTGATGATATATGGAGGGGATTATAATCAATGTAATGAAACAAGTTATATGAATTGTTGAATGTTGAATGTGAAAAAAAAAAAAAGTGTTATAAGAAGAGAACGTAAGTATAATTACCAAGCTAAAGGGTAAGGGCATGGGTACACAAACACCATAAAAATTCCGAAGTACCTTGTTGCTTTCAGCACCAGCGAAGGAAGGGATAAGTGTAACGCTCTCTTCACATCCTCCAAAGTCAATCCTTGTGTGCTGACTCCGTTTACATAATGAATGATGTCTAGTAGCTGGAGATTTCCTTCAGTGGCTGCAGCAGACCTTGGGTTGATATCACTGATATACACCACTTGATGAATGCTGTTGTGACCTCCAGATAAGGAAAAGCCTTCAGGGAATAAAAATAGTTATTTCCTCAGTCATAAGAGTGTTTTTCTTCACCAAGAAAATCTGTATGAAGCTTAAAAGTGCATTACCCAAATCCTCCTTGTTGCATGTTAATGTAATATCAGGCAGCAAGTGAGGCAACACTGGCATCCTGGGTAAATCCAGAACTCGCCCAAGCACCAATCGGACAGTCTTTGGAGCAGCTCGAAGCAGGTTCACTGCATCTGTATGAGTCATATTTGTGACATCTGTATCATTCACCTAAAAAAATGAAAAAGGCCAAAGGAGGGTTATAATTTTTGAAGTAGAGAAGCTTAAGTTGCCAAAAAAATAACATTATCATCCTAACTTTGTATATTGTATACGTTAGCCAATAAGGGATTTGAAATGAAGAGTAAAATGAAGTGGTCTGTATTTCCTGTGACGCTTTTGCTGAGGAATTCTAAACACCAGTGGGATAAAAACCCCATACATATGAAACGCCTGATATTTTGCTAGTAAAGAAAACTGAGTCTCTTACTAATTTAAGAAACTTCCTATATGTAAGACTGAAGATAGCTTCTAATTCAAGTCAAAGGGACTTTCATGTTGAAAAAGGGCTCTTAAATATCTCACCTTTAGGAGGCGGTCCCCAGGTTTTAGCCTTCCATCACTTTTGGCTGGGTCCTGAATGACATCATGAACATAACAACCAACACTCTGATTTCCTTTGGTTACTGTAAAACCCAGGCTTCCTTTTTCAGATTTAATTAGGGTAATGAGGAGTTCCACTTCCTAAGGGAAGAAAACAATAATTTCTCTAGGTTGTCTATTTTGCCATACAGACAAATATACATACAGGCAGAGTACTATTATTTCCTTGGATCAACAAATGAAGAAACTGAAACTTAATAGGGTAGTTGACTTGTCCAAGTGAAGAATTCAGATTAGTCCAACCCTAAATAGAATGTCACACATATAGAGGTTGGAGTTAAATGTGTCTGGTGCTTGCCTAGAAATAGCTGAGACAGAATTTATTCAGGCTTCCATTCTTGTACTTTCTGGATAAATAAGGACATGTTATTAAAGAATAATTGTCTTGGGGCTAAGGTTCAGGAAAATGTTCCATGTATTTTGAAACTAACAACTTAGTTGCTAAGAACAACAAAAAGAGAGCAATGGTGTTTTTGCAAAAATATGAAATTTTTGGGTGGTTAAATGTCACATCTTCATTTATTTAGTTTGTATAAACATTTTTTTTTTTAAAGTAAACTGAAATTAGATATTGACAAATTTCTAAGGGAAGTTTCCAAAATCTGTGTTCCTGTATTGTTGAGAATGAAACCCAAGATGCAGATTACATACCCACACACACAAACCCACCTAATTCCAGACAAATATAAAATACATAACGAGAACTGTCAAAATGTTTATGGTTTTGGAATGGTGAGCTTATAGGTGGTTTTAACCTTTTTCTTTATCTCCTAATTTTTCTACAGAAACCACTACTTGGATGATGGGAACTCACTAAAAAAGGATGACTTTCAATCAGTGTAAAGGATATTATATTTGGAAACTTAGTTTCAAAACTAAAAATGTAGATTTTTAAGGTACTAGGGCAATTATTGGAGTCCTGGTGTGGCGCTGTGGGTTAATGCGCTGGACTGTAAAGTCAGTTTGAACTGCAGGTCGGCAGTTCAAGCTCACCAGCCGCTCATCAGAAACCCTATACAGGGTCGCTATCAGTCGGAACCGACTCGACAGCACGTAACAACAACAACAACAAAGGGCTATTATTATAGTCTAAAGGATTCTATCTAGATGTAAAGAAATATGACAGAATAAAAAATAAGAGTCAGTATTAATTATAAATTTTGGTAAGTAACTCAGTAGAGTCTGGAAAATCAGCAAAAACAGTATTCACTAAATAAATGTCTCTGTAGCAGGTACTATGCTAGGTGTACCATGTTCCTACCCTAAGTCTTTTCTTTAATCCTCACCACACATGGGTATTTTCAATCACCTCATATGCATGCGAAAGCTGGACAGTGAATAAGGAAGACCATAGAAGAGTTGATGCTTTTGAGTTACGGT